TGCAGACCAATACAACTGCAATTAATTTTTTTAGTAATGCCCATGTGGAGGGTTAGGTGCAAAAAAACCTTAAATTCAGAAGCCGTAATGGGTTTCCATGCAAATGGTCTGGCAAGGTTTGAATTTGGGTTGGTGGCGATAAACTGTTGTGCATGTAAATTGCTTTGATACAGATCCTCCGTGAAAAACAGCTCCAAAAAATCAAGGGGAGGAGTTAAATTTGCTGTTTCCACCTGAATTTCAGGTTGGGAACTGAATGGGGGAAGTACAGGTGCTGCAGAATTTGTGGGCTGCCAATCGGGATTTGCAAGCACATCTGGAAGGACACTAGGGGCTCTACGGGCCTGTGTGCGAATTCTTGGTGGTTGCTGGACAATACTTGTGCTCACCACCTCACCAGCTTGTACTGCACTTATGGGACTGCCTCATCACCAAGTGATACTGCAGTGCTGGTATGTGAAAGACCAGGATGTAATAGGCAGCTGGTGATCGCCAGTTCACCAAAAGGTAGCGTGGCACTAGTACTGGCACTCTGCTGCATATGAGAGTCATTAGGCAATTGTATCACCTCATCACCCTGGGAATGGGGTCGGGTACACCTGACCTTAGCAGGGACCTCTTCTCCATCGTCTGAGCGATCTGTCAGGGTACCACTGCTGTCTACAGGTTCATTTTCTGATTGTGTCAGTGAGTCTTCCCCTTCACTCTCACCTGACATGCTCAGAATCCTGTAGGCCTCTTCACTAGAGTACCTTTCGTTGGACATTTTGGCCACTAAATTTATAGGTAGCTAGCGCGACTCCCGGGAAAAAGAGCACCTGGCTGTCAGGGACTGCTTGAACTGCTACAAAAAAACTGGCTTGCAAGTGCTAAGCAGAGATCAGGCCTGATTCTGCCAACACTGCGGTTTTGTGTGCAATGTATCAAGTGACAGTTACCTACTGACACTGCACTTGCTGGGGGAGAAGGGGGGGTAAGCGTAGGGGCTAAACACAGGTGCTGGCAGGTGCCGGGACTGATCCCGCTAATGCTGCATTTTTGGGGACACTATACTATTGATAATGCTGGTATAGTGCTGATCTGATCAAAGATATTGATCCTTTCAGACACTATACTAGCAATGGAGGTTTATTGTGTATGGGTGTCTTCCTGGAAATCAAGGGGTTAAATGTGATGACTGGTGTCCTGACGGGAAATCTGACGCCATCTGGGAGGGATGCTAACTGACACTAATGCTATCTGAAGTCGCTGGTGACACTAATACAGTGATCAGCAAAAAATCTGTACACTGTACTAATGACACTGGTGACAGGGCAGCGAAGGGGTTAACTGGGGACAATCAAGGGGTTAAATGTGTCCTAAATGTGGTTTTACTGTGTGTGTGTAGTGCGTGGATCTGCTTTCTTCTCTCTCTGGGACAGAATGCGCTCAGAGAGAGAAGATGTCATCATTTCCTGTACCTGTGTAATGTAAACACAGGTACAGGAAGATCTCTGATAGGGCAGGGATCGATCATCAGATCCGAACATCACTGGCCTGAACATGATGATTGATCGGTCAGGAACTGAATCACGGCAATGGCAGGTTGGTGGTGCGTGCACACGCTGTGCTCCCCGGCCACGGTCACCGTGGGAGCATGAACCATATATATACATGATTTTGCACAGGGGGTCCGCCCTGTGGCAGTATTTCTATTATAGGGGGACTTAAAAAGCGTTAAGGAAAGCTCGGCGCTGTATTTTTATTTATTAACATTTTTGCACATTTATATGAGTATGTTTAGGTGTGGCCAGCATTTTTTAGTTGAATTCACTGTTAAGTTGGTTTATTGATTGTTGATCACCTTTTTTAGCTGCTTGTGGGAATACTTTGTATTATTTGTGCTCCTCTTCACTAGTGTACCTTTCCATTTCCTGTGTTTATAAATATGGACACAGGATGATCTCTGATTCTGTACAGGTGATCAGCATCAGGTGATCAGGTCCAGGTGTGATCAGCAGGTCCAGGCCAGAAATCATTGGCCTGGACCTGATAATCGGCTTGTGTTGTACTGAGTGACAGCACAGTCAGGGCGGTGGGCTCACACGTGTACATGTACTGTATGTGATCTGGAGAAGCGGGACTGCCCTGCCGCAGTATAAGTGTGGTGGTCGGTCCTGAACTGGGTAAAGTCAGATTGTTTGCCGATGATCTTTCACTTACTTTGGTCCAACCCAACACCTCCCTGCCAGTCCTGTTCTCTGTACTCATACATTTCCCTTTCCAATGCTTTGCCTCTGTAAAACAGAATGATAGTTTCCTTGGCCCACCTCCTACCTGGATTATTTGGGCATTCATCTCCCTCGCTCGTACAACACACTCCATGAGGCCAACTACATCCCCACTTTCAAATACTTGAGAGTCCTACTTCTGTCCTGGACTCATCTTCACCTCTCCTGGATAGGGAGGATCAGTGATGGAAAATTGGCAATTTTACCAAAACTCCTTTACTTATTCTGTACTCTTCCCCATCCCCACCCCCACCGATCCCCATCTCCTCCTATACTCTGATTTTTTTTTTAAATCAGGTCTTGTGATTCAACTGAGCAGACAAAGGGCCACAAATCCCAAGACATGCTATGTATATACATAAGGAACAAGGAGGTTTGGGTGTTCCAAATGTTACTAAATATTTCTTGGTGCCCAGATTACCCCACTAACCTCCCTTTACACCACAATACATGGCTCCTTATGGGCTGACTTAGAAGCATTGCTCTGTTCTCAAACTTCTCACCATTCACTCCCATGGAGTCCTCCTAAATCCAGACCTACGTCTATCAGCCTCTTGATGGGTCACACACTCTGCACCTGGAACTCTAATAAATATTCCAGCAACTTCATATCACCTCACTTGCCTCTCTGTCCTTTTTTGGGCGATCCTAAAAAGGTCCTAAAATGGTTACAAACATTACTAACCTGCCACCTTCCCAGGAACCCTTGGTACATCTTATGGCATTTGAACCCCCCAGGCCTCACAAGTTACCAATTTTAAATTGGCTATAAATGTTCTACTAGCAGCAAAACAAAGACTTGGAAACAAGAGCTTGGCCCCCTCGTGGAAGTCCATCTTAGCAAAGATGTCATCTAAGAAAGATGTCTAATAAGAAATTCTTAGAAACCTGGGCCCCGTGTATACATTACACTCACCCCCCCATGTCCCCTGACACCTACACACTGCTATAGGCATTGAGGCCCCAGGTTTCTGGTAAGGGGGTCCCGATGTCCTCCATCTGTTCTTCATCTTACCACCTTGTTCTATTTCCTTCCCTCTTCCTTTTCTCTCGGCCCCCTGACCTGGGAGGCCTTGGTTACTGGGTATCTTGCCTATCCTCTGTGCAGGACCCGACTCTCACACCCAGTCCAAGAGTGTCTCCCAAATTATGGCTAACTCAAGATTTCCCCTCCCCCTCATTTTATTCTCTTCTCCTTCCCTAATTATCCTCTTGTTGCCATTCTTACAATGTGTATGGTTACTGTAAACCCGATCTTGTAACACGCCGCGCTCATTGATCTTTATATCCATCACTTGTATTCTCTTGTATGATTTACGGATGCACGCTGGAATTGTTTTCATGGGTTGGTTACTTCTGAACATTTGTACGAGTTGCACAATGTATCCTACAAAACTTTAATAATAAAAACTTACTGCAAGTGAAAGTTAGTTGGACAAATGTGAGGAGCATTTCCCCCGCCGAGATACATTGTGGCCATCATTTTATTTTACACAATGATTTCCTATGATGGTCAGCTCCATCTAGTGGCCTCAATGCAGTATTTTCCTGAAATCCCTCTGTGATATGGGGGTTTGTTAGCTCCTGTGGTAGATGTTTGTAAGTGAGTCCACGTCAGTCAAGACTTGCGGTTTATCGGCACGGCAGCCCACTTTTATTAAGAAGGAAAATGAAAGTCTTTACACCATAAGGTTTCCCACGCAGGGGATTGTCCAGCTTTGTCAATACATCAGATCACTGAAAATGCTAGCTCACCTGGCTACACTTCAGCAGCACCACTGATCTTTACACTGGTCCCCCAGACTAGGACTTCTTCAGGATTACTCAGCCTTGGTTACAGCACCTCACTACACAGGTCCACTCCTGGCCTCTACATAGGGTTCCCCACCCCCCTCAAGCTTGATCACTCCTCCATTGACTTCTGGACTCCCTCCACCCCCATGGACTCCCTCCAGCCCCCTGGACTCACAAGCCACTTCAGGTCCCCCAGACTCTTCCCCCAGACTCTTGGAGCTGTCCTGACTTTCCCAGTCCTTGGGCAAGGAATCCCACCTCACAAGGGATGCAGTCTCCAGCAGGAACCCCCAGCTCTCCTGACAGGGTCCTGTCTCCAAATGGCAGAAGACCTGGCCTATAATGATCCTGCCCACCTATGTACTCACACAGGCTGCAGGCATCTAGCAAAGCCTGGACATGGGACTGAAGGTCTTGTCCCCACCAAGAATCTCTGGAACCTTCAAGCTCCAGGTTCCGACCCGGAACTACCAAATCCATTGACAACCTAGAACACAGTTTTTCTCTGCTCACAAAATACATGTTGGAGCTTCTCAAACAGCAGCCAGGAGGACCCTGTGTCATTGTCACAGTGGCAGGACCTCACACTTCCACACCTCCATCAGACCTCCAAGTGTTTGTGAGAGCTTCTGCTAGAACATTGACTCCATTTTTTTTCTTTTTCTATCAATGGCCGACCCAGTTCCCACACTTCATCCATGTCTTTGGGGGCCTCTGATCTCCTTATCAACTGTTTCTTCCATGATGAAGATCAGCCATGGAGTATATCTGAGGTGTATATCAGGGTGTGCTTCTTCCCCACATGAGAGCTGGGATGTCCAGCAACATTCATCTAGAAGACATTTCCCGCACTCAAGGCACTAATACACCTCCAGGGTTGTGTGGGACCCCTGATGTACAGGAAGACAGGACTTCAGTGAGGAACATTTCCCTCACTCAGGACAGGAAAGTGGCTTCTTCCTCATGTGAGATCTCTGATGTTTGTAAAGATGGGACTTGTCTGAAAAACATTTCCCACACTCAGGACAGAAATATGGCTTTTCCCCCGTGTGACTTCTCTGATGTACAACAAGTTTTGATTTTTGTGCAAAACATTTCTCGCACTCAGAACAGGAATATGGCTTCTTTCCCTTGTGCAATCTCTGATGATTATAAAGACTGGACTTAGTTGAAAAACATTTCCCGCACTCAGGGCAGGAATACGGCTTTTCCCCCGTGTGACATCTCTGATGATGTATAACAAGTCCTGTTTTGTATAAAAAACATTTCCCACACTCAGGACAGGAAAGTGGCTTCTCCCCCGTGTGAGATCTCTGATGTCTGTAAAGACTAGACTTGCCTGAAAAACATTTCCCACACTCGGGACAGGAATATGGCTTTTCCCCAGTGTGATGTCTCTGATGTACAACAAAATTTTGATTTTTGTGCAAAACATTTCCCACACTCAGAACAGGAATATGGTTTCTTTCCCCTTGTGAGATCTCTGATGACTATAAAGATTGGACTTAGCTGAAAAACATTTCTCCGCACTCAGGACATGAATACGGCTTCTCTCCTGTGTGAGATCTCTGATGTGTGTAAAGATAGGACTTAGCTGAAAAACATTTTTTGCACTTAGGGACAAGAATATGGCTTCTCACCTGTGTGAAGCCTTTGATGTCTTTCAAAAATTAGACTTTTGTGAAAAACATTTCCCGCACTCAGGACAGAAATATGGTTTTTCACTGTGTGAGATCTTTTATGCACATTAAGACGGGATTTCAGAAGGGAACCATTTCCCGCACTCAGTACAGGAGAAGCTCTTCCCTGTTGGAAGGCCGGCCCGGTCCTGCACAGTCTGAGGTTCCTCAGGATACGAGGAATCCGATGGTCCATCTACACTGGGTGGTGCCGGATGGACATTGGAGGGAGCCGGGTTTTCTCCTGGACTATACTGTGTGATGTCCTCATCTTCTACTTTCCAGTCTGGAGACAAAGTGAGACAATCCTCGGAGGTTTTCCTCATCTCCCGGCCATGGACTAAAATACAAAGACAAAGAGGATTACTAGACAGGAGCTGATTGGTTCCCCCAAACCAGGACTCCGCCCACATCAGGCAGGATGGGGAGCAAAGCTCAGGAAAGTGACCAGGGGATTACAGGCTGATATCACCCAGTCCCCGCCCTACTCTGGACCAATCAGTGAGCAGTATGGGTGGAGGAATGGATTTAGTGTTCATGACCCACCTGTGCTGATCTCTGTAGGAGTGTCCTCCTCTATAAATGTCCCCGTTATTCCATCCTCCTCCATAGACTGCTGATCATCCCTCACATACGCCTCTTCTTCTTCTGCTTTCACCTCAACTTTTATATCTATTGGATCTTCACCCTAAACCAAGGAAATGAGAGAAAATATCATCTGTAAAATATAAGCTCACATAAAAAAATCCAAATATTGTCCCAAGTCCATGCTCTCCGCCCCACCAACCTTGTAATAGTGAGGGATGGTGTGACCTTCCTGTGTGGAATCCCGGGAATACAGAGGACGGGGACATCTCTCTGGTGGGTTCCTGGTATTAGGTGGCTCCATCATATCCTTGTGTCCTTCTGAAAACTCCTCCATCACTCCATACTCCTCATCCTCCTCTTTATACTCTTCTTTAACATCAATATTATCATCCCCGAGGATTCCACTCTGAAAGATATAATAAAACATTCATTGTAACAAACATGCTGTGTATAAATCACACTACCAATAATTGTCATCATCTACCTGATGATGGTGAGGGATGGTGTGACCTTCCTGTGTGGAATCCCGGGAATACAGAGGACGGGGACATCTCTCTGGTGGGTTCCTGTAGCTGGATGACTCCACCATGGTGTCCTGGTACAGATCTTTGTGTTTTTTAGAAGCTCTGACTCCTCCATCCCCCCATCCCTCCTCCTCCTCCTCTTTTATCTCTTCTTTAACCTTCTATACTCATGCACATGCAATCATGTGGGGGGGCGGGATCTGGGGGCCTCCATGTTAAAGGTGCCTTCCAGATTCCAATAAAGCCCCCCAGAACCACCTGCCAGGGTTGTGGGGAAGGACCCTTGTCCCCATTGACATGGGTACAAGGTGCTTTTGGGGGGGGGGGCAGAGCACCCCTGCCCTGAAGCACCCACCCCATGTTGAGGGTATGTGGCCTGGTATGGTTCAGGAGGAAGATGGGCACTCACTAAGGGTCTGGTATTGATTTTGGAGGGGAACCCACGCTTTATTTTTTATTATTTTGGCATCGGGGGGAAACCCTCAAAATCCATACCAGACCTGTCACAGCTGTCAGCGGGGAACTTGGCAGCCGATCCGCTCCTTGTTTACTGGTTGTTGGGGACACTGGCGGCTGCCCTCTCCTTAACAACGAGCTATTTACAAGTGTTGCTAAGGACACCAGTGGTAAATTACCCGCAGGCTTCACTACTAAAAAACAGAATGCAGCATCTTACTACATACTGGGATACGGGAAGATACCGCTTTGTGATTGGAGCCCATAGTCTCTACAAGTCCATGTTATAGATTCTCCATCCCACCAACCTTGTAATAGTGAGGGATGGTGTGACCTCCCTGTGTGGAATCCCGGGAATACAGAGGATGGGGGACATCTCTCTGGTGGGGTTCCTGGTATTAGGTGGCTCCATCATATCCTTGTGTCCTTCTGAAAACTCCTCCATCACTCCATACTCATCCTCCTCCTTTTATCTTCTCTTCTTAACACAATCAATATCATCCCCGAGGAGGATTCCACTCTGAAAGATATAATAAAACATTCATTGTAACAAACATGCTGTGTATAAATCACAACTACCAATAATTGTCATCATCTACCTGATGATGGTGAGGGATGGTGTGACCTTCCTGTGTGGAATCCCGGGAATACAGAGGACGGGGACATCTCTCTGGTGGGTTCCTGGTATTAGGTGGCTCCATCATATCCTTGTGTCCTTCAGAAAAACTCCTCCATCACTCCATACTCCTCATCCTCCTCTTTAAATTCTTCTTTAACATCAATATTATAATCCCTGAGGATTCCACTCTGAATATAGAATAAAAATGACATCAATGGTAACAATGCAGATAATGTACAGATCCTAATGATACTATCAGTGATTGTTCCTCATCTACCTGATGATGGTGAGGGATGGTGTGACCTTCCTGTGTGGAATCCCGGGAATACAGAGGACGGGGACATCTCTCTCTGGGGGTTCCCATGACTGGATCCATCTGTAGGAAACACCACACTGACTGAATCCATTGTTTCTATGTGTTTATCAGATGATGGGGGATCTAGGTGGATCCTCCGTACTGCTCTCTCTCCTTTACAATAAAGTCTCCTCTTACCCGGTGATGTGAGGGGCGGCTGATTGTCCATCATGACGTCCTTGTAGAGATCCTTGTGTCCTTCTAAATACTCCCCCACTCCTCCATGGAGAAATAGACAGTGACACCCTGACACCTTATAGGAACCTGACACACACAATGATACAGTCACCATCCAGACACATCCCTTGTCTGTTACTGGAGAATGTCCCAGAATTCCCGGCACCGCTCACCTCTCCTGTCAGCAGCTCAGTGATCTCTCTGGTGACTTCTAGAATCTTCTTCTTCTTTCTCTCTTCTATCAGGGAGGGAGGTGGAGGCAATGTGATGTCATATGATCTCCAGACTTCACAGGAGGAAAACTCTACATCTGAACACAAATAGTCACATCAAATGATATTCCCAGAATCCTCCTCACTCCGGTCAGGTCTCCATTTTATTAAAGCCCCACTTCAGGCTGTAAGCCCCACTTCAGGCTGAGGGGTATAAGGAATTCTGACATCATTACATAAAATGAAGGATCAACAGTTCTGCTTTGCTTGTGAGGATGTAAAAGGGGTCCGCCCACATCCTAAGAGTACTGGATAAAAAAAAAAAGGATTCTCTGGACTCTGGATGGAGGGACATTTGGGAGGAGGAGCTGTGAGGTCAGTGTGATGTCATAGGATTCTCTGACTCTGGATGGAGGGACATTGGGAGGAGGAGCTGTGAGGTCAGTGTGATGTCATAGGATTCTCTGACTCTGGATGGAGGGACATTGGGGAGGAGGAGCTGTGAGGTCAGTGTGATGTCATAGGATTCTCTGACTCTAGTTGGAAGGACATTGGGAGGAGCAGCTGTGGGGGCGCTCTGTGAGGTTTCTGTAGGTCTATACCAGGTGTGTCCCACCTCTCCAAACATGAAAGATGAAGTTTGTCTTTGGGCTTTGCCAGGACACATCATATTTCTCAGATCTCTGTGACCTCTAAGAGACTTTACTGATCACATTGTAGGATGAATATCTGAGACTGGGATCATTATGGAGAAATATGCTTTCAGGACATTTACTACAAATGACATTTTTCTCTCTTTCTTCCTATTTGAAACTTATGAAATGGAGACATAGATATTCCAATCCCCCTAAATATCCCCCCATCCCCCACCACTAATTAAAGTCATAAAATCTGTTAGTATAGACTGATGAGGTGAGAAGGTGACACCTCTCCACAATGAGGAGAATGTTCCGCCCCGGAAGTGGGGGAATGTTCTGCCCCTGAAGGGTTAATCTGGGTTCCCACACTATATATGTGTGTATCATCATCTGCTGGAGATAAAAGACGTCACAGTGACTATGGAGGAAGAGGACGGGAGGAAGAGGACGGACATGACTATGGAGGAAGAGGACGGACATGACTATGGAGGAAGAGGACGGACGTGACTATGGAGGAAGAGGACGGACGTGACTATGGAGGAAGAGGACAGACATGACTATGGAGGAAGAGGACGGACATGATGGGGGTACTGGGTGTAAATAGAACATAAAATCTTATTACCACCTCTGCTGCCACTTCCACAACGTCTCCTCTCTACTTCCTGTCTGTCACTTGCCTGACATCACTTCCTGCTTGTATTCCTGTCTGAGACTTCCTGTCTGGGTAGAAGTGAGATCCCCACCTTGTGGAGTTCAGAGGAACTGCAGCCCCGAGAACCATCTGGCAGTGTGACCCCGGCCTTGTGCTGGGTGTGTATGGACTGTAGATCCTTATAGAGGGGTCACCTCCACTCCCACCAAGGGGGACAGAAATATATGACTGCCTAGTCCAGCCTTTCCCAGCCAGGGTTCCTCCAAAGGTTTCTAGGGGCTCCTTCAGCAATGAACAATTCCTGTCTCTTAGTAACAAATGGCATCAATGATCTGTAAAATCCATTTCTTGGAATACATCACAGGATACAGAACATCTTTTACATTCCTTACTAACAGGTTTGATGTCCCACCTAGAACAGGAGGGGAGGGGAGGACAACAAGCCAACAGGGATGTCCCACCTAGAACATGAGGGGAGGACAACAACAAGTCCCAAAAAACAACCAGAAATAGGAAAGAACCTCATGCAGCAGCCTGCAAAAACCAATGTGTCCAAAGGGAAGTGTCCTTAGTGACTCCAACATCCACCTGGTAACATCATAAAGAGTGCACCGAAGACC